ATTACATTCGGTAACAGTACCCCGATTGGAACTTTGTGCTGCGCAATTGTTGGCTACTCTTTTACACGAAACAAGGCAGGCTTTGCATTTGGAGCACGTAGCATACACTCTATACTCCGACTCAAATATTGCTCTATGTTGGCTACGCAAAAACACATCACAATTAAAGCAGTACGTTGCTAATCGCGTTGGCTGCATTCAATCGATGACAGATATCAGGCATTAGCATCACATTCCTACCAAACTCAGCCCAGCTGATTGCGCCAGTCGTGGCATATCCCCTTTGGCGTTGCATAATTACGCATTATGGTGGCACGGTCCTAATTCAACTGATTATTCAATCAATGAGCTGCACCACTGTGCACCAGCAGAGCTGGCAATAATGGAAGGCGAGTTAAAACCAGTTAAGGTAAAGGCATTGCAGGTAACAGGTCAACCCGCATTACAGACACACTACACTGCTGGCGATGAATTGGTCGTCATAGATCTGTTGGACCGATTCAGTCATCTTGGCAAGCTATTGCGCACTACTGCATATATATTGCGTTGCAAAAAGGCACATCAGCGTTTTCGTTCACATACACACATCTGTACAGGCGAAATGGACATTGCTTTAAATCACCACATCAAGGCAGAGAAAGCGAAATATTTCGCAGCGGAAATCAAGCAGCTGAAAAAGGCACAACCCATATCCACATCCAGCAAGCTCATTGCACTGAGTCCATTTATCAACTCCACAGCGGACAATATATTGCGATTAGGCAAACGCCTACAGAATGCGAGGGTGGCAGAGCCACAGCGTCATCCAATCATTCTTTCGAAGGATAGCACATTGGCCAGGCTTTTAATATGGTAGGTGCATCAGGACAAACTTCATGGCGGTATACAAATTATGCTTCATATGATTCGACACAAATATTGGATTCTACAGGCACGCATTTTGGTCAAGCAATGCATACACTCATGCGCGATTTGCAGGCGGCATAATCACATAATGCTAAAACAACGTATGGCGACATTACCAAAGGCTCGGGTCACCCATCTCCATCATTTGCAAAATCTGGCTTAGACTATTGCGGTCTATTCAACATACGAATTGGCTCAAAGGCTGTACGAACCGTGCGGAAGGCTTACGTGGCAATCTTTGTGTGCATGGTAACCAAGGCAGTGCACATCGAACTGGCTGAAGATCTCACTTCTGAGGCATTCATAAATGCATACACCCGTTTCGTGAACCGGCGTGGTCCATGTAACTATTTATACAGTGACAATGGCACGTAATTCATTGACGCAGATCGTTTAATGGCCGCTGACTTATAGGCTTGGCATAATTAATATTCTCAACAGCAATTGGCAAATCGAGGCACAAAATGGCATTTTCTGCCACCTGGCGCACCTACTTACTACGCATTGTTGGCACCCATTCCATTTACTATGATCAGCTACATACTCTACTTGTACATATCGAGGCTTGCTTGAATTCACGTCCACTTATACCATTGCATGACACTTGTGACGACAAAATGGCTCTATCACCTGCAGATTTCCTAATTGACAGATCTCTATTGGCAGTGCCAGATGAACCTAATGGCAAGGTACCTAGCAATAAATTATCATACTGGCTACAATTAAGGCAAATGCAACAGCATTTTTGGCGACAATGGCATGATGAATATCTTTCAACTTTGCAACCACGTTCTAAATGGCATCAGAATGGCGACAACATCAACATAGGCGATGTCGTGCTTATCCGGCACGAGAATCTACCAGCAACACATTGGCGGCTTGGCAAGGTGATTAAACTTCACCCAGGCGAAGACGGTTTGGTACAAGTAGTCACGATCAAGCATTCAGCAGGCGAATGCATGCGACCTATCCAAAAAATATGCAGGCTTGTAGAGCATCCTGAATGTACCCGTCCAGCCGGGCAGGATGTTTGAGATTTGGCACAGCAACCAAGCGATATGGCATTACCCATTTAGTAATTTTATGCGCGACAGCTGCATTTTGACGTCTGGAAAACAATAATATTTGGCTTCCTTTCTTCTTTCCGCTTCCTTCTTTTACTTCGGGTTGGCGATGTGCGTACCTTATCTATCGTGGCGTGGCTAATTTATACAAAGTGTTGTATTTTAAAAATTGTGATCAAATAAAGAAACATTATATTTGCGTGTATGAAATTATTGTTTTTCACTTTTTTCATACAAAAATATAAGTGTTTATTTTTATATAGGCTAATTGGTCAAAACTTTTTTTATTTTATTGTTGTTAAAAATAAAAAACAAAAATTAAAAATTCACAATTTGATTTTTCAATAATTTTTATTTTTCTTCGATATTTCGACTTTAGTCTAAAGTCATCATCAGGAAACTAAAACATTATATTCAAATACTAAACCACTTATAATACATAATGGTAGACAAAAGGATAAATGTGTGTGTAAATATGTATATATATATATTTATATATATGTAAATATATGTAAGGAAAAGTACAATGTTTTATTATATAATACCAATGTTTAATACTAAGTTATTAATCCTGTACTTGTTTATTGATGTATAATACTTTTATACATCTGGGCACAGTTGTCAACATCAGTTTTAAAATTGAGCCTTATGTCAGGTGGAATTTTTAGAATTGCAAGCATCTCCAAGAAGTATCTTTTGCGATGATTATTTTCTTGATGTAAAATTTTTATATTTTCTAAATCTGGCTCATGGTGTGTGGAAATACAATGTGAAGCAAGGGCTGTTTTGGCTTCCACACCGACTTTATTTTTTATGCTGTGTTTATGTCCAGCCATTCTTGTTTTTAATTTATTTTTTGTCGTTCCAACATATACCTGATCACAGACGTCATACCCATCACCTTTGCAACTAATTTGGTATACTACGTTCGATTTGTCCAAGTTATTTATTTTTGATTTTAAGTTGGAATAAAGTGCGTTTATTGTATTTCCAGATCTTAGTGTGATATTATAATTTGCTTTGTCATGAATGTTAGAAGTCAGTATTTGGTTAGAGAGTTTAGGAATATGTATAATGCTTTTGTATGTTCTGTTATCCTTATTTCTGGTGTCATTCTGAAAGATGTTTATATTTTTGATAATTTTTTCCACATTGGAAGAGGGGAAATCATTTTTCTTTAGAATTCTTCTAAATTCTTTCTGTAGATCATTATGGAACGTTGGATCGGTTAGATGTAGAGCTCTTTTTATCATATTTTTTGCTGTATTTTGCACTACATGGTATGGATGGTTTGAATAAAAATTGATGATCCTTCCTGATGCCGTTGGTTTTTGATACCATTTGGTAAAGATGTAATTATTGTGTCTTAACAATTTGATGTCAAGGTAAGGAAGGATATTATCTGTTTCTTCTTCCATAGTAAATTTAAAATTTTTATGGAAGTTATTCAATATTCTTAAAGTTTCATCAATTTTATCTGTTTTTACTATCCCAAACAGATCGTCAACGTCATTTCGTCATGATTCTGGGTTTGCAGACCATTTCTTCAAGACAGTTATCTAGTAACTCTTCCATAATAATATCTGCTATTATGGGTGAAATTGGTGATCCCATCGGCATCCCTTTTCTTTGTGTATATAATTTATTTTCAAAATTGAAATAGTTATTGTCTTTAAGACAAAAGTTTAAAATATCAAAAAATAAGGCTTTTTTAATTGTTGTAAAAGTCTTTATTATGTTCCATTTTTTCTCTATAATTTTTAAAGCCAGGTCAAGAGGAATGCTAGGAAATAAGGAAGTAACGTCAAAAGAGATCATTTTCTCATCATCATATATATAGGAATTGTTGATTTTATTTTTAAATTCTATTGCATCCTTTACATTATAGATAGAGTTTTTTGTTAAATTTTTAAGGATGGACGCCATGTATTGGCATAATTTATACGCTGGTGAGTTAATGCAAGAACAAATGGGCCTAAGTGGCAAATTCTCCTTATGGACCTTTGGTAAGCCATAAATTCTAGGAGGATAAGTAGTGGTGGCTATTAAATTTTCTTTCTCCTTTTTATCAATAATGTGGTCATCATATAATTTAGTTACTAAAGTTTTATTTTTAGTTTGTAATGACGTTGTAGGGT